ATGTTTGTTTTGTTTGTTTTGTTTGTTTTGTTTTGTTTTTTTGTTTGTTTGTTTGTTTCTTTTTTTTCATACATTTTTTTTTATGTATAGTAGATAAAATAAGAAGAACATATATATATATATATATATATATATATAATAAAAATCTATAAAAGCTATGATGTCATTACATAAAAAAACATTATAATTAATTTTTTTAAAAAATAAGTGAATGTTTATATTAAGTAATATCATTGTATATTGTATTCTTGATAAAAAAAATATATATTAAATATTTTTAGATTTATATTAATTTTGAATTTGATATTCTTGCTTTGACTCTATTTTATATATTTAATTAATGAATGTTAGTTTTCTTTTTTCTTTTTTTACCTTCTTGAATCATTATTTTTTTATTCTATATTTTTTGTAGTCTATTTGGAATTTCAAAAAATCTTGAAGGTTAAATAACTCAAATATTTAAGATAAAAATAAATAAAATATTCTCAATAATAAATAAATAAATAAATAAACAATTTAAAGTCAATTGTCTCTTTGTGTAGTCATTATATAAGACTTTAGAATAGCGTATATGATTAATTAGTTTTAAATGCATTATTTATCATATTCTTATTTAGACATAAAAAATATTCAATTTAAAATATATTCATTATAATTTAATTCTAATTTTCTAATCTAAATTAGAATTACATATTCTTTAAATAGGACCTACAAAGACAATCTAGATAAATAATTTAATATTTATAATGAGTACTCAAGGGCATACTTATTATAATTTTTAGCTTGAAAATAGGATAATATATTATAGTTGAAGAAGAATTTATTTTATAGAGATTTTTAGGAGACTAAACAAGGTCATTTATCTAAAATCTTTTTCTTGAAAATTACTTATAAAAAAATAGAAATATTAAAACTTTAAATTTTTCGTTGTTCAAATTTTATTTTTTTTATTAAATAAGTCTTAAAATATCACCTAGTCTAATCTTTCAAATAATTTAAAATTAAAAATTTACATAAATTTCAACAAAAAAACTTAAGAATTTAAAATTATAAAATTTAAGGTATCTTCAATTAAAATTAAAAAGGAAAAATTATAGTATAGATTATGGTCACAACTATTAGTTTTTTTTTTATTATTATAATAAGAAAATTAGAGTTGGAAGTAAGTAGATTGTTAACTTATATAATTAGCATAATTGATTGAAGTTATATCATTCAAATTTACAAATTTGCAAATTTTAATTTTGCACAACCTCGTTAAAGTAAGAATCTATTTAAGCAATACTATATAAATATATAAACATGTATAAATATATCCATATATATATATATATATATATATATAATTATTTCTTAAGATAAGACATTTTAATAGGTAGAACCATTTAAATCTCTGACTTTAAAAGAATCAAAAAATATATTTTTATTATTAACTACTAAAAATAAAAATAAAACTAAAAAAACAAAAAAAAATAAAAAAATGAATTGTACAGCCTAGATTGTATGTTTAGAAAGATGACAAATGATTTATAAAATAGCTAGAAATTTATCTAGAATCTCATGATTTTGAGGTTCTATCTTTTAAGATTTTTTTAGAAAAACATTCTTTTGAAGCCTTGGTAAATCATGAAATTCTTTATTTTTGAAAAGATATTTCAACCATAGTGGATAATCTACCTTGCATATGAAAAAATTATATTAATGTTGATTGTAATTTTTTCATGGCTTTTTAACTTTTATTGATTTTAGCTAATAGGTAGACTTTCAAATATAAAAAGATTAGATTTTTTCTAATCTAATAGAACTACTACTATTTAATAGATTAAATAATCAATCATTTAGTTTCTAAGTTGGTTTATTTAACAAAAGTAGTATTAATGCGAAATTAAAATTTACTTTGCACTCTTATATAATTAATTAATTTTACATACATTCATGTTAGATAATCTAAAAACCAAAACATTTTGTAATCAAAATATACTTTGGCTTTAGAACCTTATAATTCTTATTTTAGCAAGATCTCTAATTATATCAAATATAAGTAATTTCTTTGGTCAACTTTTTAAAATATTCTTGATTTATTTTATTTTATTTTTATTTTTTATTTCATTCCATAGACTTTGATTAAATATTTTTGTAAGAAAAAAGTCTCACAGAATAACATTGAGTTACTGGTTGCAATTTAAATGTTTTTAAAAATAAGTGGAATCAATAAGACTAAATCTTAAAATTCCCTATAATAATAAAATCTTTTCAATCAAAATTTTCAAATTACATCAAATCTAAGAAATCTTTGTTCTAATCCTTTCATTTTTTTTTTTTTTTTATAATTTTATAATATTATTTATATTATTGTATAAATACTTATGATTTTTTCATATATTTTTTAATTCTAAAAATATTTTATCTTATAAATTAAAGTATTAATAGACACCTCTACAATATAAAAGTTATTTCTATCATCTAAATTCGTCATAATATTAATAAAACCATAGAAATCATCATTTGTAAGTGTAAAAAACTATGCTACTTATTTATGGATTGAATTGTATTATATTTATATTTTAGCACCCTGTATAATAAGAGTAAATTATGTAAAAAATTCTTATAGTATATAAAGATTCAAGGTCTCTAAGCAACATCTTTTGGTTATCTAAAAAGAAATAACACTTGGTTATGATTACTTGAAAATTGAATGTTGAAATAAGCAAGTGTAAAAATTAATTATTGGATAGTAAATATTCTATAATATTTATTATAATATATTTCTAGTGGTCAATGGCCTACTATAAATAAAGTCAAGTAATTGATGTGGTAGCTTAGATTATGTAGTCAATAAGACTGTTGAATTTAAAATAAAATAAAAAATGTCATTCTTGTAGATAGAATTGACGGCTTTTGGATATTGAGAAGATCAATTTAAAGCAACTAATATTTAATAAATAGTATCTTGTGTGGATCAATTACAAGACACAATCGTATAAGAACTAATTAATACTGTGGCTTCATTTAAGGATTTTTTCTTAATTATTTTTTGATTAATTATTATAATTCAAGAAAATAAATATAATAAAAAAAATGTGCATTCATAACTAGAAATATATTTTTATAATATTTTTATTTAATATATAATAAAAGATGAAATTATCTATTATAATTTTGTGTACAATATTTTCTTTTTTTTTTTAAGAAAAAAAAATAAGTAGTTTAGACTCACTATTAAAAAACCATAATAAATTGAAATAAAAAATTAGAAGATAATTGAGATTTATTTCAAAAATCACTTAATTATGAGCTTAGGTAATTAAGCCTCACCAAGTTTTTTGAGTGGTGTAGAATTTTCTAAAAGAACCTCAAGGCTTTAGTCTTGTCCTACTACTTACTTTTAAGGTATTACAACCTATATGTAAAATATGCACCTAATTTCCTTTTAGTTGCTAATTATTTCAGTTTTTTATAATAATATTATATATTTTAAACTTTAACTTCACCATGGTAATTGAAAACATCAAAATAGTCTAAAACTCTGTAAGTACCTTCATATATTACTTCAATTCTTAAAATAGCTTTTAAAAATTGATAGGATTATGTTAATTTACATCATAAAGTATTATTATGGAAAAATAATTCTTAAATCTTAAAATAGAATATAATTTTTGATTAAACATTATAAAATCTATCATTTTATTTTAAATTCTAATTTCAGACTAAAACTAATTTATTATACCTTTTTATTTTTTTAGCAACAGAAGCAATTTAAGAAACTATATATATATATATATATATATATATATAACACTAAAAATCTGTACTTTTTTACATTAATTTTAAAATTAAAAAATTAAAAGCATGTTAAATTAAATATTATATATGTATATATACCATGCTTTATATACTAAACTTTAAAACTATTTAAAATTTACTCAAATAATTAAAATTAAAAACTGAAATAAAATAGTACATCTACTAGAATAATTTCCTTTAAGACTTATTAATATTCCAATTTTATGAATTATTTGCCTTACAAAATCCTTTTTATATAAAAAATCTTCTAAATATTAATCAATATTTAAAAAATAAAAAATTCTTATAAATGAGGATTTTTTTTATCTTTGTTATAATAAAATATCATTCTAAGTATTTATTAATTAAAATTTATTAATAGAGTTCACATATGTGGCTATTGAAACTTATCCTATAATTCTTTGTTTGTTAGAAAGTCATAGCAAAACAATCTATTAGTTGATTTTTAGGTTACAAGTCTTATTGTACTTAAAAAGCTTTTATTAGATCTTCTTGGTAGCTAATACATATAAAGAAAAGAGTAGAGTTATACTCAATCTTATTAATATCTTTATTATATTTTAATATATTTTTTTTCTTTATATTTGACAATAATTATTACAAATTTCTCACGTCTTATACTTATTTCTTTTAAGTTTATTTACTTTCTTCTTAATAACACATAAACATACACACACACACACACACATATATATATATATATATATATAATAGATTTTTATTTGGATCTATGTTTCTATGAGGTGATGGATCTTAAAGAATTTTTCACTTCTAGCTTAATAGTTTTTCTTGTTGTTTTTTATATCTCCATTTTTTTTTTTTCTCTTTTTTAAATGATTATTTCTATTAGCTTAAAAAATTCAAAGAAAGAAGAAAGTTAAGGTGAGTAATGTGGTTTTTGATATTTGACCCACCCGTCTTTTGATATTTTGATTTAGAAATATCACAAGATACTTTGAGCTTGCATCACTATTGAAATATCACTAAAAAATGTCATGGTTGAAACTCTCTATTGTGATAGAAGTAGAAAAGAAAAGAAAGTGTTGCTTGTTGCATTGAGCCGTTTTCAAACTTGAGAGAAAGTTTAAGAATCCTCTCTTTATTTGTTTCACAATTGAATTCGATGTGGTAGAAGAAACCCTAAAACCTCCCTGAAACGCTCAAGTCTCCTCCAAACCCTAAAATCCAACTCGAATTGCTCTTAATCAATGCGCTCTCGCTAAACGAAGTTATGAAACTCTGCTGCTGCTGCGTCGACTGGCGTCAGGTTGCATGGCCGTCGAGCAACCTGGCGCGCTTCAATAAGATGCGTGGCAAGGGGGTCCAATCCACGCAGCTTGCAGCACAGCTGCGGAAGTATCTATAGCTATGGCGACGATCACCACCATTGGCACTCTGGGTGCTTCTGATCTCGCCTTGCTCGTCATGCCCCTTTGCGTAACGAATCGTGTGGTGGCGACCTCGAGATCGGCATCCCTGACCTTCGCGGTTTGTTTTCCGTGAGCGGGCGTGGAGCGGGGCTTAAGTCACGGGTATACGTGGACTTTGGTGAGGAATGACTCGACGTTGTGAAGGAGAAGGCGGCGAGAGTTCTTGCCCCAGTGATGTTTGTGATAGTGCGCTCTAGGCCGTGATGTTTGTTTCTTGTGGAGCCTCGGGAACGAATCCTCACATTTGTGATGGACAGAAGAAGGTTTGAAGATATTCGCCGAAGACGTCGCCTGCAAGAGGGAGGGAGAGACTGAGCGTGAGATAAAGTAGGGCTATAGGTACCTGAATGTTTCGAAGATTGTTCGGAGCTATATTAGGGGGCAGTTGTTTTTCGTTTGGATAGCCGTGTGATGATATTGTCCATGTGAATTTTGCGTGGTGGATGCACTGGATATCGTGCCCCGAGATCGCCTTGGAGAAGAACGTAAATTTTCGGTTTGGGTGGTCAGAGAGAGAAGCAACATAGGTTCAAGACATACTGATACTGATGAGCAGCGTAAGACAAAAGAGGTTTGGGCATTTTCTTCGCTCTTAGGCAGGTGAAGAGTGCCGGATTCTATTTATGAGGGAAAAGGGGTATGGTAAGGTGGAATTGTGGCATCTTTACAGGCTGACAGTAGAGTGAAAGGCCCAGCCGTGGTTTCCGCGGAAGATCGGGAGCCATTTTAATGTGTTTGCAGAGACATGATTTTAACGTAGCAATGAAGGTCCTCCAGGAAGGAAATGGGCACAACCCCAATTCGGCAGAGTGCAGCCTTGCCTTTCTTGGGTTAGATCAGATTTTGGTTATCTTACAGTTTCTCCCCGTCCAGTCATTGATTGCATTCGGACTCACATGCAAGAGATTCAAAGAAATCGCAGAGGGGGACAGCCTGTGGGCTTTCATTTGCGTACGGGAATGGGGCAGTCGAGCAGTGCACTCGTGGCCAAAGCATGGTAAAGAGAGAGGGGGCTGGAAGTGGGTTTACAGACAAATGCTGATGCTCAAGGCTGGGTCCTGGCGCAAAGTAGAGCAAGGGGGTGTGTCGCCTGCGCCTCGGGCGTCGCACTCTCTTTGTACAGTTGCAGGTAACCTAATAGTATTCGGAGGAGGGTGTCAGGGAGGGCGCCACCTTGACGACACATGGGTTGCTTCCCTGCCCACTGAAATCTCTGAAGGTATTGTTTGGCAAAGAAGCAACCTCGGCAGTCCTTCTGGACGATTTGGACAGAGCTGCACGGTTGTCAATGACGCGATAGTGCTCTTCGGGGGGATCAACGATCAAGGGGCGCGTCAATGCGATACTTGGATCAAAAGTGGATTAAGCAGCGGGAACATGCATGACAGCCCTGTCTGGGAGCTGGTTGATGTGGTGAAATCGCCTCCTCCTCGCGGTGCCCATGCAGGCTGCTGTGGCGGTGATGGCAGGGTGGTCATATTCGGGGGAATTGGAACTGAGCTGAACAGATTTTGCGACACTTGGGTTTTAGACTTGGCAGAATCCCCCCTTATTTGGCACGAGGTGATCACCCCGGTCTCTCCGCCCGCACGGTCGGGTCACACAATGACCTGGATAGGTGGTAGAAGAATGATCCTCTTCGGCGGACGAGGGATACGATTCGAAGTCTTGAACGATGTGTGGCTGCTCAACATGGAGGGTACGTTTCCACAATGGGTAGAATTGCGTCCCTGCGAACAACCCCTCCACGATCGGCCGACTCCCCGCGCTGGCCACTCTGCCACTCCAATATTCGGCGGAAGAATTTTAATTTTTGGAGGTGAGGATGCTCGTAGGTCACGAAAAGGAGATGCCTGGGTGCTTGACCCCAGGGCTGGTGTACAGGTTGGATGTGAATCCTCGTGCATGTCGAGTTATACCCAGAAACCTTTGATTGAAGAAAAAATGGCGCCTCGGTTCTGGAAGAAGCTTAAGCAGTTGGGTCAGCTCCCGAGCAGACGATCCTTCCATGGTGCATGTGCTCTGGACTCCGGGCACTCAATCCTTGTCTTCGGGGGCATGGTCGATGGGGAGCTTCTGCCAGGAGTGGCTACTGGTCTCGGATTCGACGCCGAGATGCACATGCTGCAGCTGGTTCCTTGCTGCAAGTAGCTCTCTCCCGACCCTCCTTCCTACCTATCTTCATTGTACAAATTGGTAACTCCCAAACAATCAATCAATTATGGGGTGAGGAATAACCTGGTATAAGTAAGAGCTTAGAGGTATTACAGTGGTTGCTAATAGGAAAGGATTTGGCTTAACAGTAGGGTGTTGGAAGCTGCTACAGGTGAGTGGCCTGCAACGTCCATCATGTACACATTCTAAGTTAATCATATCTCAGGTAGGGTTTCGTTGTGAAAAGCTATTTACTTTTCCTATTGGTTTCCGATAATCTAAACTAGATTTTGCTGGCTCAGTGCTCACATACTCGTGTTTGATGTGTCGGTTGATACTTGTGTCAGTTGTGAATGACTCCACTAGGCGCTCGCGTATTGTTCCCGAAGTTTCCTGTACCTATAATTCGTTAATATGTTATACCTCAATTGAAGACCGTTCACAATAATTGGTGAGCAATGATCAGCTGCCCTCGAGTGGGCTTTGCATATGAGCACTCTATGTGTCTAACGCTGCGACCTACAATCACACGTTAATCCAAGTTGCACTTTACGTGTTGCTGCCAACTATCCGACACCAATCAACCTAACTTGCGTGGAGTGGAACGTGCAATAAAGCTGCCTTGAGTCCTACTGGTTGTGATGTTTCAAGGAGTTACTCAGTGCCGACAAGTGTTGCTGTGCTGGCAGTCTCAAGCTACAACTGAATATCTTCTTGTCACCTGAATCTCACCTCTTTCCAACCTTGATATTCACTTGCTACAATCACCTAAACTAAGGTAGACAATCCATTTCTGATAACTTAAACATTTCAGCATATATCTACTTGGTGTAAAAATGGAAAAAAAATTCCCCCATGTAGTGAAATAGAATTCATGAGGATTCCAAGTATTTTTATATAAATATTTAAGTTGAAGATTCTCTTTGATCCATTTTGGACATATAGGCCTACTTAATTCTAACCAATGGTGAGTTACAAAACCAAGAATCTAACTTTTACAAAACAGTGATGTGTAGCACCTACTAATGCTATCACAAAAGTAGTGTGGCACCTAATTATACTATTATTCCACCTCAGTCAACAACTGCCACCTATTGATAGTTCATGCAAATCCATTCCAAGTACAATGAATTTTATTTCTTCACAGCTTAACATTGTTGTAACCAATCCATGACTTATTTCCAATCAATGGAAATGATTTTTTTTTGATTGAGGTCAAATCTAGTTGTTGGACTAACAAAAATAGCACATCCTATAGGTTGGAAATGAGGGAGTGGTTGATGATGGGTTAGCTATTTTACATGAATTTGATATACTTATTAAGTTTACTACAAATTCAAAAACATTTCAAAACTCTTGAGGCACAAAGTCATCTCTAATGTAAGTATATCATGAATCATCTAGAAATATTAATTGCAATTGGTTGTATAGTTGTGATTGTTGATCATATACATTTGTCTCTTCACTATATTCTATATTTCTTATGAAAACTAGTGTGTGATGAAGCAATAAGTTGCCTCAATAATAAACACACTCCTCTTAAAATGATAACTATTTTTAAAATTTTGTCACAATTGAATCTCTATTTTTATTTTGATTGTTCATCTTTCATGTAGCAATCTCATTTCATTCAATGTTTTCTTTCCCTTGTTTAGTCTTTTGACATTGTAGGATTTTGTGAAATATTGTAGAAAGGTAGAGCTATTCAATGAGAAGGGGGGTTGTTAAAGGATGAGGGGTTGCTTCAGCAATAAACTATATTGGTATTGACATTCAATAATAATCTTCTTCCAACATTTCTAAGATTTTTTATGATACAAAAACTTAGACATGCCAACACAACAAGGTATAATACAAAAATAGTTCATTTTTTAAAAAATAAAATAAAACAATAATGTCAAGAATTTATGCATAAGTAAAAAATTAAAAAGTTCAACATATTAACATTATTAGGCATGCCCTTCTTTTTGTTATAGTCCCTTCTTTTAACAAGAAATTACACTCCTTTGCAATATTTTATAATATTATACACTATCAAAAGATAAATTAATTTCTTAAAGTAATAACAAAATAAATAAATTTTAATAGAAACAAAAGCTTAAAAAGACAAGAAAAAAAAGTGGAGCACTACTCAATATAGGTAGATTGAGCATAGAAGGAGCAAGAACATCCAAATTACAGTAATTTTAAACTATAATCAAAAGCAGAATGTTATAAAAATAATGGAAAATGATCTTTGATATCCTTTGTGATTGTGTTGCAGAAAATGCCTAATTGATGGCCATTTATCTACTTACAGGTAAATAATGGGCCAAATCCTCTCTTCAGCCAACTCATGGTAGGGTTTAGAAAATAGGGTAAACCTTCTCTTTATACAGCCACCTAAACAAATAGTTTTAAAAATTAATATTAAAAAATAAAATTAGATTTATTTGATTTTTTTCCTTGTTAAAAGCCCCTTCTTTTGAATTTCTTTTCTTTTATTTTTTTCTTAATTTTCTTCGATTTAATTTAGGTGATATTTACTTTTTAATGTATCAAATTAGTACCTTTATTTTGTTACCTTTTGTTTTCTTTATCACATCTTTATATTTAATACTTATACTCACAATGAACACAAAAAAAAATTATATGAAAATAATATTCCATTAATTTTAAATGAAAATATTTTCTTTTTCTTTTTAAAGATACTTAAGAATATACATGATTTACTAATTATTGATTAATTCTTTCTTTCTTTCTTTCTTTCATTAATTTTTCATTTTAAAATTAATACATTATTTTATTTTATTTTCATCAAAGAGAAAAACAAAAACAAAAACAAAAACTGAGACTTTTACTTGAACTATTAAGATCTTTGAAACGTATACCTCACTGTATAAAAAAAAATCGATCTTTGTTAAGAAAATCACGTAAATAATATGTATATATATATGTATTTAAAATCACTACATTTATAAAAACATATTAAACCTGTGATTTACAAGTGATATTACAATACATATTTCGCCTCCTTTGGAATGGGGAGCAGTGAAAAGCACCTGGGCAGCGGGCAGGGTCGAGAAATATGTGAGCAACGGGCAGGCTGAATCAGGTCGTTCATGGACGTAAAAGGCCAAAGCTGACAAGACGATGGCCAAAGCAAAACGAGGCACCTTCTAAGGAATCCTTTGTAATTAACTCAGGCCCATGCCTTTGAATATATAAAATATGCATGTTTCTTAACAGTGGAGATCAAAATGAAATTAGAAACCCCTTGAGTTGAGTGTCTGAACAGATACCACTGGAGTATTCAAGAATGTAGACGTTGTTTATTTTTTGAAGTATAATGCTGCTAGAGTGAAAGTTCATGCCCATGAGTGAACGAAATGAAAACGTTGCTAAATTTATGTGTTCAGCAGAGAGGGTGGAGTTTACTTTTTTGTTCAATCAATCTACTACTTACTCACTTAGCTTGTGAACGAAGTGGAGCATATGGAGATTTTCGGTTATCAAAATTTTGATAAAGCCGTGCCTGTGATCTGGTGGTCGAATCATGATTTGAGGCAGAGAACAAGTTTCCGCATCTCCTCAAATGCAGAGCCGGCTGAGGTCTTTGGGCTCCTGTGGAGAATTCCGTTCCTAAGGATGATTGGAAAATTATTTGTCAGATTTAGTTACCGTCGTTCAGTGTTCTAAGTATAATTAGAAAATATAAGACATTCATACCTTTTTTAGAGGGTCTAGATTGGAGGCATGCGCTGCTCAGTACCTATCTGTAAACATACTGTCGATATTGAGCATATCCAGAACGCCATTTATCGTAGAATCCTATCCTTCATATTTGAGTGTTGTTTGAATACTGAATCAAACTTAACATAAGAAAGTTCATGGTATCACGAAATCTCAAGACGAAGAATTCCGGACATGTCTACCATGGGAAGACATGCTGCTGAGAACGCACTGCTTCGGTGAACGAGACAAAAAGAATGAATGAAAATGTGCCAAACACTTCAATTTATTTCGGGTGACATGCTATCATACATCAGTAGCTTTTTACGTACATATTATTTCTACAGCTCGTAAAGTTAGAGAATAATGGCAACCTCTAATTACGCACTCCAGTCAATTAATGTTTTTGTTCAATGCGCCAGCTTGTTAACCTGCCTTCCACAAAGTCGTAGTGCATACCATATATCTGCAGATGTCCACTCTGGAGGCGCTCTTCGATAAAGGGAAATGTCAACAGATTGGCCAAAGAAAGATTGACCGCTTCCTGTGTGGATTGTTGAATAAGTCACAAATGTAAATTATTGAGAATAGAAGCTACGTATGTTACAAAACCGACTCTAGAAGTAGTTACATAGTCAAGTGCAAAGGAAACATCATCTAACTTTAACCATTGTCAACAAAAATCAAGTTGACAGGCTTTCCGCAAGTTAATAGGATCTCGATAAGCTGAAATGTGGACTTGTCATTTTAAAAGGTTGGCATCGGTAACATATACCTGTTCACAAAAACTGCATTGCTGCTCGAAAGGCTTGTCCCCCAAAAGAGAGAGAGTCTTTGCCTTGGCAGGCATTCCAATTTGCACCCAACTCCCAATGAAATCTCTGCAAAAATGTTTGAGCATGTCAGGACCTTGAACTGCACGCCGCGGAGGTTGTATTAGTACCTTAAAATGCACGACAATCCTAATATAGCTGCCACAAAAGACTTGAGACTGCAAGAGCAGAAGAGTAAAAGCATATTATTGTTGATGACAATAGAATTGAGCGCCGTACCCTGAGAAGTCATCCCGGGACATGAGAGCCTTGATACCACCACAGCTGCTATGACCCATAACAATTATGTTTTTCACCTGCCAATTCGCCAAAATATGATTCAGACGAAGAAATTAAATAGATCCAATAATTAATTGGTTGTTTCCTCATCTCTTCAGCAGTTAAATTGGAAGAACACGACATAGCGCAGATGGAACAGAGGTAATTGAGAGTTATTTTATTATAACAAAGAATGCCATGTCGGCAAATCCTCGTTTGAAATTCTTTGCAAAAGAAAGGTTACCAGGTTGAATTCAGGCAATAAACGACTCTTCTTACATTCAAAACAGTGACTGCGTACTCTATGGCAGCACTTGTTCCGTGGTGTTGGCCCTGCAATAAAAAAAGAATGCACCGCAGTCTTCAGCCACTACTTCGCTTCGAGCAAAGTAAGAAGATAACTCAGAAAATACGTCTATTGTTGTGCTTACATCGCAGAGAGAACTTTAAGGAAAATGGATGAAATTTGTACTAGTATCGGTCAACATTTGACATTCGACCTCGCTAAGTTACACTTGGCAACCTGATACGTATCCATCTTGGTTGTAAGATTAGGTTCGCAGAAACCAAGAAGAACCAAAAAAAAAAAAAAAAAAAAAAAAAAAAAAGGGAAGATGAAAGGCCCTCCAGTTCTCAGAATGCGAAACAAAAAAGCAGGTGACTTGTCCTTTCCTGAGTTCATGTATAAAACAGAGAATGACTCCAGCGTACATACCGATTCTTCGCAGGGAGGAACCAAGTTGGCAACGTTGCGGACGATAAACGCCTCACCAGCCTCAAGTCCGTGAAGCATAGTTGGACAGACACGCGAATCCGCGCATGTGATCATCATAATCTACATTGCCAAAAACATACAGCTTTAACACCATGCATTATAAACGCATGAGAACACTACTATAAGTATATTTTCACGAGTGAACCGACCGGATTACAAAATCTGAGAATCATAATAATACCTCAATCTTCGCTCTGAAAATTGATCACCTGAATCACCACCTACTGAGAAGACAAAATTTAAAATTTAATCTGATCCATTTGCTGCTTCTTGGTTACATACACGAGAAAAAATCCTGAAAAAGATGTAGCGATGTTTCCAAATCAAGGTGTGAATCTACCTTAGGCTCTTGTCCCACTCTAAGTTTGTCATATAGCTCTGGCTTCTGTCTGCACACAACCATTGAAGTAAACACACTATTAAATACAAACTAAAGCTGCTGGCCAAAAGCAGTATTTCACATAAACCTAAGCCGTTTCGAAGCATGAAAAGAGTTAGAGAAAAGACAATCTGTGATTTTCAAATGAATTAGCCTGTAAATTCTTACAACGTTGATATGCAGCTATGGACAAACGTGGGCAAGGAAAAATCTGCTACTTAAATTATTTGCTCCAACAGAAAAAAGATAGACTACTTGAGTTTACAGTAAAAATTGAATACTTGAACACTCCTTCCTTGAAAGTCTTGAATCCAGTTATGAGCTTCTCTATTACATCGTTGTTCCCGTCGAAAGTGTGGTTCTCGTCAACCACAACATGATCTGTGAGCGCATAACCGTCGTTAAGAATTTCTCCCAACCCGTGCGGTCTCCCTGCTTTGGGGGTAGAAAGCTGATCCATATCCCTCCAGGAGTTCAAGGACCACTTGAATGTTCAAAATAGAGTCCTCTACGAAAGTACAACCTCCTCTTTGCTGCACGAAAAATGAAGCCAATTAAGGCGACATACACCAACGCCACTGCTTCAAGACCTTTTGGAAGGGAAGTGCTCTAGCACAAACATGAAAAGATCTCTGTATGAATTCGCGTCCGTGCAAATGAATCGAGTTCGTTGTTTCTTTCTCCAATTAGCACTCCTCGTTCCCACGAAGCGAGAATGACTACAAGAAGCTCCAAAAAAAAACTAAAGGGGATAATTCTAAAACTAAATCGACGGACATGCACTTTTGCACTGCAGAGCCCTTTCGAATACTATACGAAGAGGTCGATCACACAATTTCAATTACTTACGACAAGCCGGGGCGGATACATGAATACAAGCCAATGGGTTTCTCTTTATCACTCCAAAGGCTCAGAAACAGCAACAACAACAACAAAAACTCCTCTCGGCGTCGATCAGCATGAAGATCGACGCTCGCCACTCGCCGAACACAAGAAAGTCTCAGTCAATGCTCAACGCTGTCAAACAGCAATTGCAACATGCTACGACAAAAACATACTTAAACACACACACACACACACGTTCCGTTCACTCCTCTAGGCTATTGCTCTCTCTCGCTCTCGCTTCGCTCTTGGTCCCGTCCCCGCAGCTCAAGCCTGGAATCAAAGCAACAGGCCAAAATCAAGCATTGATCGATCGATCGGAGCAGTGACAGCTGAACGTCGACTAAACTGCAGCGGGGGTAGTGGCACGGCGGAGCGCCGTAGACTCTCAATCTGTCGCGGAGAATTTCCAACTGAGAAATCTCCTGCATCTTCCCATAGATTAGGTCTCCGCTGCAGTCAAGTCCAGTCCCCGGAACAGTCAAGGGCCAAGCTACAGCTTAGGCGTAGTCATAGCCATGGCCATGGCCATAGGCCTGCGAAGCCACGCAAAGCCTTTCTTTGTGCACGTAATCATCGATCATGCCAAAAGCCCTTTCCTCCGCCTCCTCCCATCACCATCCCCTCTTCCTCCTCCCCCATCACCGTCCCCTCGTCCTCCTCCTCCTCGCAGTCCGTGCAATGATCGTGGGCCACGCCAACCTTCCCTCGAGACGTGGCGTCTACGTGGACACCACGTCAAATCTCGATGCCTCAGTCCTCTCACCAGGTTTATATCAGGAAAAAAGTGTCCTCATCCATTCAAGGTGAGTGGGTGGCCCGTGCATTCTTTGCCTGTGACTGCCCACTTGTACTGACCAATGTGAGCCAGAAGTTTGTTTGTTTTTATTTATTTATTACTTCAATGAATTTTGGGGTTGACGTCCCACTTGGCAAAGGGCTTCCTGGATTTGATATGCTTCATAAGTTTTGAGGCAAAGTTTTTGGGAGTCACGGTCAGAGTTGGAGTTGCTGATGTGGTGGAGTAGAGGGGTCCATTGTAAAGTTCTTCTCCGTTGCAATCGGGATTGAAGCAATGAAGTGGCAATTTGTGACTTTGGCAGGACTAGTAGGGCAAGGAAGTGGGACAAGGATTAAGTTTATAATTGTTTTTGTGGAGGGCATGAATGGAACATAGTCTACTTTGAGACTCAATCAACAAAATTGACATCAAGTCTGACTTCAACTTGGATTTTTTTAATTATATATATATATATATATATATTTTCTATCCTAATTCCACTTGCAGGATAATAGCAAGGTCAGTAGTTGTCTAGGAAGTGTGACAGAAGTGGAGTGTAGATTTTCATTGCATTGCTAAAATAAATTAATATAAAATAAAAAAGCAACTTCAAGGCCCAAGGGAAAAAGTTGACTTGGTTTGTAGCTGAGTTTTTTTTTTATATTTTTTTACTTTTTTACTTTTTTTTTTTTTTTTTTAAATGTTTGTCTTCATCCATAGAGTGAAATTTTCTGATGTGTATCTTGATGTCATATAATCTAAGTATTTCTATTGTTACAAGGTACAAAGGAATACCGTTTTTCCATCAATGAATATATTTTTTAAAAAATTCTTCACAACATAAATGGTATAATTTTTTTTTAGATTATCTATTTAAATTTTTTATGATATATACATAAATAAATCAATAATAGGAGACAAAAAAGCAAGAGAGTAAAATATAACCACTATGTGTGGACCCATGTATACGAAAAACAACCCACATATATCAAACAAGGGGGGTTCCAAGGGTGCAATGATGCTTAAAATTGAGTGGTTGCTTTAGTAAAAATTTGGGTCGCTTTATCATTCCCCCATATTTTACTTTACTTGCTTGCAGATGGGGCCACCAACCAAAGTTAACTATGCCCTTGCTGGCGTGGCAGCCAACTCGGAGCAATACTGGCCGCGGATTCGCGTGGTGGGGCGACGAGACGGCCTATCGATCGCCGAGGTTTTTGCTGCTGCTGCGCAATCTGCAGTTTGAGACTGTTTGGATTCGTGGGTTGGATTGCATGCTGCACGCTGCCATTTCGCTTCCGTCAGATGCAGTTCGCGCGCGCACGCGTAGAGCGAAACCACGGCAGCTACGGACAGAGAGAGACAGAGCGAGACAGTAGCACAGTGGCGCAATTTGTGAAGGGAGAATTGTGTCTGGCTATGTCTCCGAGAGCGCTGTTGAAGCTGCACGCTGGTAGCCTCTGGTCGCCGGCGTCGAGAGCTCCAGCGCAATGTGGTGGTCGCCAGCCTCGTGTCTGCATCTCTACCCGATTCCGAAGCCGAATGCGGTCACCCAGTGCTGGTCGGAGCGACGACGGCGTTGCAATCCAAAGGATTCGGCCGGACGCAACCCACTTGCGGAGCAGGTGCTCGACGCTTGATTTCTCCGGACGCGTGAGCGCCACGAGTGCCGGTATGTGGTTTCCTCCCCCCCTCTCCTTCCCCTGTATTCGTCTTCTGCCAGGTCCCTTTTTATCTACTGGGAGGTAATGGAGCGTCACAGAATAAGTGTCGGTCTGTTTCTTAATTGTGTGCATTGTAAGGCGTTTCTTGAATTGCATCCCTCACCTTACTTTACTTAGGTTTTTGTGAAAGTTTTAATTTTTCGACGAATTTCACAATTGAATAGGAGCAGCCCGTGTTTGTATTTTGATGCAACGATCTGCTGCTCGGTGTTACGATTGCAATGATGTGTTTCACTCAGCTGGTTCAGTTTACAATGATTTTCCGGCGTCGGCTATGGCTGTTTCCGTTGGGTTTTTTCACTGCACGACGTAGCGCTTAGGGCTTTAACAGTGTTTTTTTTTTTTTTTTTTTTTTTATTTTTTATAATGGTGTCTGTGAATTGCGTAGTGAGACCATGGTTATGAGCGTTAGAGTTTTTGTTTGGAACGGCCCCTAGGTATAGTATTGTAAATTTCGTGTTTCTTGTTGAAGATTAGTGCAACTTCCAGGAATATTTTCGATAGCTCCGAATTTACAGAAGTTGTCTTTGGAAAATGCCCTAAGACTGCTGCAAAATAAATAAATAAAAAAAATGTTTATTCGCGGTGGTGACATTGGTTCTCTACCGGCATCACCCCACGCGCCAGAAATATCCCACTTTGACATTGAACACACATAATGTTTGAGTGGTATCAGATTCAATTTATGTATAGCTCAAGTCTCACGGTGTAAATTGCAATTCTATTTCCCACGTAAGGCGCTCAGAAGTTGTGCATTGAACCTGCTGAGTGAAACTGAGCCAGCGTAGACTGTTGTTGTCTACTACACACGCACGAAGAGAAATCAGATAGTGAGCATCACTTTTCTAGTAGAAGTGAAATTGCCTCGCACTCCCATGCTTTGCAATGCCTCTTCATGTTTTGAGTTGGATTACTCTTCAGTTGGCATTTTGACCTAAGTTATCACGACGGGAAAAATAACGCATCATTCTTGTTGCACTGCAGTAGCTGTTTCCGATGTGGAAGACGCGGTAGACCTAAGCGAGTTCGTCTTTACTGGGGGGAAAGTAACCTCAGTTGCTCACGGGTATTCTTATTGACCAGTCTGCGAACTAAAATTGGTGTCTCTCGTTGCATTCCATGGATGTAGACCTGAACTGTATCAGTACATTGGTATGATACGATTGCCCTTATTGGAACAGATTGCAGTACTTGTGCTTGAATCCTAAAGTTGAGTGTTTTTCTCTTTATATAATCTCACTTGATTCTCCACGTTATGGAGGCAAACTAGTGCAGGGTGTGGAGGAAGGTTGTAAGATCAGGTGACACAGTAGTAGATGCTACATGTGGGAACGGGCACGACACACTAGCGTTGGTAAAGATGGTGTGTGCAGACAATGCTTTGGGTTACGTTTATGCTTTCGATGTTCAAGAAGATGCCTTGGCGAACTCTTCTTACCTTCTTGACCAGCGTCTTGACTCAGTGCAGGTACCTTTGAAACCTAGACCTTTTGATGAGGAAAGAAAAGTCCGCACTGAGATGAAATATTTCACCTGTCATACTATTAGATTACTATGGCTCTATAATAATGATATCATTTTAATATTAGATTTCCTGCTGATTTGTCATCGCCATTCATCACACTTCGTATATCTTTTGCATGTGACATGGAATCCCAAGTTTTTGGTGTGTCATTGTCCAGAGAAAGCGCGTTAAGCTTCTGCGATTATGCCACAGTCAGCTCGAAAACATCGTAGGCGAGACTCCAATAAGGTATTAGCAAATATATTCGCATATGCTTCTGCTATATTGTACACTCTTGTGATGATCGCTACTGCTCATTCCGATGAGCTTGTATCAGATTAGTTACTTGCTTCAGTAGGCATCTTTTGAGCGCCCTTTCGAACAGTATGCTGTTCTGAAGGTTTGTTAAGACTTACAACTTTGTGACCCCATCTCAATTCAGCATTAGAACTCACTTATTGCGATGTGGACATTGTATACATGCAGACTTGTAACCTTTAATCTTGGTTACCTTCCTGGTGGCGATCACAATGTGGTAACAAATGTCGACACTACAATACAAGCGCTTCAGTCCTCAAGCAACGTATTACAATCCGGAGGGCTTATTAGTGTTGTTGCATATGTTGGACATCCTGGCGGACGGTAAGCGTTCTTTCCCGAAGGATTTTGAGTTTGGGATGAGTCTGATGCAAACACGATGCATCAGGAATTACCCTCGAGGATGCATCCAAAAAGAGGTTAAGAGTTAAACTTAAGTTCCAAGTTAACGTGCAGGGAGGAGTATGACGCTGTTATGGATTTTGGTTCAAAACTGCCGAAGAATACGTGGGTATGCAGTCAGCATGAGTGGGTTAATCGCCCCCTTAGCCCACGACTTATCCTCATGTTCAAGAGATAAATATAACCACTCTCTATTGTACAAGCTTGAGTCAGCTGCTTGATTGCTGGAAGCCGCCGCCCGAAAGTTATGACCAGTAATCGAAGTTCCAAGCGTTACTGATGGTATTAGCACTCGATGGAGCTCAATAACTTGAATTGGAATTGAGTTGCTGCACAATCTTTTGTAGCTTGTCTAGGCATTTCCATTGCACGAGCTTTGGAATGGTGAGCATGTATAGGAACTTTTTTAGCACCGAGTGCGTTGGGGTGGTTCCGCGAGACTGCTCTAGAAACTAGGAGATTCATGTTTTTTACAACTACGGTTTAATTTCTTCCAAGGAGGTTTGCGGTCACATATTTTTAACAGTTGTACCAATTCAACTGTTGCTGAGCAGAAAATCACTGATAAAGATGTTCAAGGTTGGTTTTTCTGTTGGTTTTTTTCAAGCAAGATTTGCAGAATGGCTTTGAAATGTTTAATGGGTTCTTCTCGTTCAGATCTGGTTTTGGATGGTCAGTTTCATGGCCAGTACATAAAGCGCTTGATGATCATCATGCAACTCCTAGTCTCTGAGAAATCTTATTTATTGCCTCCACTAATAAGGTATTTTTTGTAAGCGTAAACAGTATTCTTATTTTGATTCCTGCAACATCTTGCTTTGTTTTTAATGTAGGTTTTTTGTGCCCAATTCTTATTGATTAAGGAATTTTCTTCTTAAACTCAAACTTTCCTAAACAAGACCATGCTTCAATTGCAACAGTTCTTGTCTTTTATACATTTTTGTACTTCCATCTTAAAAAAGACAATTGTTGTTGACTTCTTAGTCATGATCTTTATCTTCTCAAACTTCATTTTAAACTTTTATGAAAAGTCTTTATTTTGAATCTGTCTTAGATTGTCCTGATAACTCTTCAAATGTAGTTGAGATAAATGTGCCTTGCTATTTTTGATTTTAGAATGTTTGAATTAAAATAAAATTATTATATTAACCTCTTTTACCTTAATTTTATCATCTTTGAGCCTTTAGCATTACAACTCTTTATGCAAAACTATCCAAATAGGCAACTTAGCATATTTATTTGCAAGGTTTATTTTTTAGTTAATTTGTAATATTTAATACTTAAAAAAAGTCTCTAATTAACAATAATTAATCCTTGTTTATCATTTTATATTGCTCCAAAGAGCATGCTATATGTGCTTATCAAGCCCCATATTTCAAATAATACAGTCGAGTTATATAAACTATCATTTTAATATTAAAAAATTGATATTATCTCATTTAAGTAGGTTTCAAAATGCAAATTTGTTACATGAAATTGAAGCAAATGATGAAGGCCTATCAACATTTTGGTTAGCTACAAAGATAAAAAAATCCCCTCTATTTCATGTACTCCATTCTTTTTAGCAGAAAATAGAGAGATGTACAAGTTCCTTGTATATTTGATTTGAGTATATCTGCTAGGATTGAGCTAGTACGTGCAGCAAGAATCCTATCTAAAGATAATAGCATTCCAATTGGGAGAGTGGTGTTTGTAGAGGAGTCGTCTTCATATACAAGAAAAACAACAAACTAAGACTTAAACTCAGTATCTTGGATCCAATAATATTACTAGATAAGATCAGCTTACTAAGATTGTCTCTAGACTCTTTTCTCATATACAAGATAATTGTGTTGAGACATCTAAATTAATGTACCAAGTACTAAGTATCAAATATTCAAACACCATGCATTGAAATGCAAACTAAGGCTATGCAACTCCAAGAATTAGGAGCAAAACATCCACAAAGACCAAAGAATCCATGCTCCAAAATCCCAACAAAATCTAAGATCTATCCAAAAAGGACAACAAAGAGAGAGGAAACAAAAAAATCCAACCTATCTACAATTGGCAATATCAAATACTAAGGATGGTCCTCCTCAAAATATTTCATAAAAACAAAAAACTTGACAGATTCTTCAAATGTTATACAAACTAAAATTGGTGGTAATACATGAACAAAACTTGACCACTGAGACTCCTCAATCTGTACAAATGATCTTCACAATTATAAGACAATTATAAGATTGAAAGGTGACATCTACCAATAAATAGAGACAATCAACAAACAAAGAAAATGACACACACACAGTACCAAGGAGCAATGATCGATCCTAATAAGACCAACTCTACATCATATACCACACAAAAGGATTCTATTTTGTATAGAAGAAGAAACAGTTGGAAAAAGCCTACCTTCAACTTGAATTAACATTCGCAAAGCTTCTAAAAGACATGGATACATAAAAAAAGGAAAATGAAATCACAATAGTATTAGAGAAATTCTTCAAAGCAATATCATTCATCTCACATCCAAGCACACAAATTACAAGATATAAGGTATTTTTCATATTTTTTATGATAATAGAAAAAAATATTAAATAAACAATTCTACAAAATCTTTGTCAATCTCAACACCTATGAGAGTTAGCTGGTAGTATCTAGATAAGTAGCAATCTTGAAAAACCACACATAATAGTCTCAAATATAAGCAATAATACTACTCTTCCAAAAAATAGCAATGGCACTCTTGAAGGTCATTGTCAATATATAAAATGTTAGAAATCTATAGAAAAAATGGGAAGATATAATATGGAGATATAGTTAGAAGAGAAATAGAGATAATATGATATACTTTCTTTGCATAGCATTCATCACAATCATGATGAGCACACTTATGCTTTAACAATTAGAACAATACAAATGAATTCCAATGCACAATGTATTTTATAAATTCATGTCAACCACATAGAAAAGAGTATTAAGACCACTTCTAGCCTAAATCAAGACAACCACACATACACTCTTCAAAAAAAAAAATCAATTTGGGGAGGACCTCTCTCTTCTTAGACCAAAAAAAAAAAAGAAAAAAAAGAAAAAAAAGAAAAGCCAAACCTACCTATTTGCCAAAAGTAACACAATCAAAACACAATAAGAACACTTGCCTAGAAAAGAATGTTAATAACCTTGCCATGCTTTCAAAATAACTATGGATAATATGATCCTTGCCTCTTTCAATATTAAGTCTTTTGAGCAAGGCATACAAAGAATGAGAAAGGGAATTAAAATATACAACCTATATAAAAAGTGTAACCATAATCTATAATCATTCTACTACAAAAATACTATTACAATATTGATGATTGCTTGCAATGGAAAACTAATTTTAATTTAAGGGAAGTAAAGTTTTTTAGAATAATACAATATATTCTACAAAGAGGGATAGATACTTAAGAGGTGTAACCATCTTGATATTAGATAAGCTATCCACCTGCATTTGAGACTATAGAATCATTGTAGAATTTGGAATATAATTTGTAGTTATAAAAGTAAAAGCCAAATTCATCAGAATCCTAAATATCTATACATAAAATACAATGAGATAAAATGCATAGTTATAGAGCATGCTTAGTATGAGCTCTCATTTATGCTCCAATTTTTTTATTTTTTATTTTTTCTTATTTTATGATAATTGAACATGTAGATTAAGATTTATACAAGTAAAATATGGTTTTATTAAATTTTTAGGATTGTAACCTTTGATGGTATAAATCTCAACTTGGTTCTTTGAGTTAGGTTAATTAAGATCAAAATAATAAGGATTAAAATATTATAATAGTAATTTGATTAATTTTAATAATTTAGAGGTTGTTAGTCATTGCTATAAGGATTGATTGTGAGCCTATGAGTTCACCTACAATCATCTCATATAATTTAGAATGCATTAGAATTAGAACTTTCTAAAAGATTTAGTGAAGTTTAGTGATGGTGGTTTTGAAGCTTTTTCTTCAACTTCAACAAATCCAAGTGATAATGTAATTTTTTCAATTAATAAAGGCTTTCAAATAAGATGGCAGCATTGGATTCACCTCATGGAGTGAAGAAAATAAGACCGGTACCTTCTCTTCCAATATATAAGTGGAGCACTAAAATTTTCATTTTTGAAGGATTTTACAATAATTGCTAAAATCTCTAGAGATAATAACTTTCATAAAAATTATAAATAAATATGGAGACATGTGAGTAGTCAATTTTAGCATAAAAAGGTGTTTTGAATATAATGGTGAAGTTAGATTTACCAAAAATTACTCTTTTGACTACTTACAATAGCCATCAACCTTAATAACGAAATTAGCTTTTGGGTGAATGAAGGTTATAGATCAGGATTAGGGATTTTAGAAATCAAGAATGGAGATGTAGCTACCCTTCTACAACCCTCCACTCAATTGTATAAGAGAGGCTTTGTTTTTCAAGTCCTCTCTCTCTCTCTCTCTCTCCTCTTTAGGTGAAGAGTGAAGCCATGCTAAAATTTGGCCAAAAATCCTAATCTTAATTTTATTTAGATTTTAAAATCTCATTGTGAACTTTGTAGATGGGTGTGCATGGATTTCTAGTTGTGAATGATAGTCATTGGGTTCTAAAACATGCTTCATTGTGGTAGATAGCTCCCTTAGCCTCCCAAGTACTCTAAGGGTTTCAAGGGCCTCGGATTTTGCTCAATCAGTTATTTAGTTCTTTTTAGTTTCAATGTAAAATCCCTTTTGATTGTAGCTTTTTTATTTAGCTTTCCAACAAGATAAGATTTGCTCAATTTGGAGTTGAATTGAATTTTTGGTGAGATTTTGAGTGCGAGGGAGCCGACTGCCTTTGCAGTTTGGATTAATCAAGTTTGGGAAGGAATTTCTCAGTGCCTTATGATTGGATTCAATTGAAATTTTAGAAGAATTGGGCTTTGTAAGCTAAGATTTGAAAGACTCAAGTTTTGCTAGATTTGAAGATAATTTGGATTTTTAGCAAATTTCTAAGTGAAGAGAGTTGGTCACCAAGGCAGTTTGGATCACTCAACTTCAAAGGAGCAATTCTCACGATTGGATCACTAAAATGCAACGAGATTTATTAGAGCAAGAGCATCCTTATGTTAAACTTGTAAAACACTAAAAACCATTCAATTTGGAGCTAGTTACAATTTTTGGCAAATTTTGGAGTAGAAGGGGGTTACAACCTTCAATCCTTGGATGTTATTAAGATACCTTTGCTTTTATCTCTCTTATTTTATTTTTACTTTTATCTTCATAGTGACTTGTAATCTCCACATTCTGACTTTTAGCTAATAAATTTTAAGTTTTAAGTTTTAACCTTTAATATTTTAACTTTAACTTTTAATTTTAATTTTTAACTTAAACTACTGAATTTAATTTTTAACTTTAACTTTTAAATTTAATTTTTAACTTAACTTTTAATTTTTAATTTTTAATTTAATTTTCAACTTTAATTTTTAAAATTTAACTTTTAACTTTAATTTTTAACTTAAACTATTGAATTTAATTTTCAACTTTAACTTTTAATTTTAACTTAAAAGTTTTTATTTTTATTGTGAATTAATAGAAATAATTTAATTAATAATTATT